CTGGAGATTGAGACTAGCCTGAACAACGTAGTTGAGACCTTGCCTCTACAAAAAAAGACAAAAATTAGCCAGGTGTGGTGGTATGAGTCTAGTCCCAGCTATATGGAAGGCTAAGGCAGGAGGATCTTTTGAGTCCAGGAGTCTGAGGTTGCAGTGAGCTATGATGATACCATTGTGCTCTAGCCCAGGCAACAGACAAGACTCTTACTTGAAAAAATAGTGTCCAATAATCTATAGCTCTAACAAAACCCCTACCCAAATTCCAGCTGATTTGTTTACAGAAACAGATGAGCTGATCCTAAAATTCATATGGAAATTCAAATAACCCTGAATGACCAAAACAATCTTGAAAGTGAAGGAAAATGTTGGATGATTCACACTTCCTAATTTCAAAACATGCCACAAGGCTACAATAGTCAAACCAGTGTGGCACTGGCGTAAGAGCAGATATACAGATCAATAGAGAATCCAAAAATAAGTGCTTATATTTATGATCAATTAACTTTTAACAACCGTGCTAAGATGATTAACGGGGAAAAACAGTTTTGTTTTGTCATCCTTGGTACAGTGCTGTGATGTCATAGCTCACAGCACCTGCCACTATATCCAGCTATTTTTAGAGACAGGGTCTGACTCTTACTCAGGCTGGTCTTGAACCTGTGAGCTCAGGCAATCCACCCGCCTTGGCCTCCCAGAGTGCTAGGATTACAGGTGTGAGCCACTACACCCCACTTAAAAAAATAGACTTTTTAACAAATACTACTGGCATAATTGGATATCCACATTACGGCGCCAGCAAGATGCACTGAGGCTGGAAGGTTTGAGCCCAGCCCGGACCAGCTAAAAAGTAATGACAACTGCAGCAAAAAATAGCCGGTTATTGTGGCGGGCACCTATAGTCCCAGCTACTTGGGAGGCTGAGGCAAGAGAATCGCTTAAGCCCAAGAGTTTGAGGTTGCTGTGAGCTGTGATGCCACCGCACTCCAGCGAGGGTGACACAGTGAGACTCTGTCTCAAAAAAAAAAAAAGAATGAAGTAGAAGGCCAGGCACAGCAGCTCACACCTGTAATCCCAGCACTTTGGGATCCTAAGGTAGGTAGATTGCTTGAGACCAACCTGGGGACTGAGCAAGACCCTGTCTCTATGAAAATTTAAAAAGGAAAAAAATCAGCCAGGTGTGATGGCACATGCCTATAGTCCCAGCTACTTGGAAGGGTGAGGTGAGAGGATTGCTTGAGCCCAGGAGTTTGAGGCTATAGTGAGTTACAAGCCTACCACTGCACTTCAGTCTAGGTGACAGAGTAAGCTCCTATTTAAAAAAAAAAAGTTCACTTCCTACCTCATACCCCATACAAACATTAACTCAAAATGGACCAAAGACTTAAACTAAATGTAAGAGCCAAAAGAAAATATCGGGGTAAATCTTCATGACACTGCATGAGGCAATGTCTTAGATATGACACCAACAGCACAAGCAACAAAAGAAAACACGGATCAGCTGGGTAGCACCAAAATTAAAAACTTTTGTACATTATCTGTGAAGTGAAAGACAACCCACAGGATGGGAGAAAAGTTTTTGCAAATCACATACCTGATAAGGCATTTGTATCTACATGAAGACGTAGTCCTAAACTCAAAAATGTAAAAAGACAAATAAACCCAATTCTAAAATGAGCATAAGACAAATAGGCAATCTTCCTGAGAAAAAAATGCAACTGGCCAACAAGCACATTGAAAGATGATCAATATTAGTAGCTATCGAACTGCAAATCAAAACCATAATGAGTAAGACCAGCCTGAGCAAGAGCAAGACACTGTCTCTAAAAAATAAATAAATAAAACAAAAAGAAAACCACAGAGAGAGGTCTTCAAATTCACCCAGATGGCTATATCAAAAAGACAAATAATAAATAACAAGTGCTGGAAAAAATGAGAAGAAACTAGAAGCCTCATACGCTGCTGGTGGGAATATAAAATAGTGCAGTCACTTATAAAAACGATTTGGCATTTCTTCACAAGATTAACCATAGGCTTGGAGCCCATAGCTCAGTGGTTATGGCACCAGGCACATACACTGGGGTTGGCAAGTTTGAAGCTGGCCCAGGCCTGCTAAACAACAATGACAACAACAACAACAAAAATAATAGCCGGGTGTTGTGGCGGACACCTGTAGTCCCAGCTATGTGGGAGGCTAAGGCAAGAGAATGGTTTGAGCCCAAGAATTTGAGGTTGCTAAGAGGTGTGAAGCCATGGCACTCTACCAAGGGTGACAAAGTAAGACTGTCTCAAAAAAAGAAAAAAAAAAAAAGGATTAACCATAGAGTTTCTATATGACTCAGTAATTCCACTCCTACTATTTATCTAAGAGAAATGAAAATATACGTTCACACAAAAATTTGGCCACAAATATTCACAGTAGCATCATTCATAATAGCCAAGCAGTAGAAACAACTCAAATGTCTATCAACTGATTAACAGATAAAGAAAATGTGGCATGTCCATATATAAAGGACTATATGGCAATAAAAAGGATTTAAGTTCTTATACATGTTACAACATGGATGAATCAAGAAAACATAATGCTAAGTAAAAGAAGCCAAGACTTAAGAGGCCACATGTTGTAACATACAATTTATGTGAAATTCACAGTGTGACAATTATGGCTGGGTGATGAAATACCTGTCCTCAATGAAATTCCCAGAAAAGGCCAATCCCTAGGGACAGAAAGTAGACAAGGGTTGGGAGGTTAGAGAGAAGGTAGAGAGATGGGGAGTGAGTGCTAATGAGGACAGGATTTCTTTACAAAATGATGAAAAATTAATATGGTGATGGTTGCACAACTCTGAATATACTAAAAGCCAATGAATCAAATATTTACTTATTTATTTTTATTTTCTTGAGACCGCCTCAAGCTGTGGCCCTGGGTAGAGTGCCATGGCATCACAGCTCACAGCAACCTCAAATTCTTGGGCTTAAGCGATTCTCTTGCCTCAGCCTCCCAAAGGGCTGGGACTACAGGTGCCCACCACAACGCCCAGCTGTTTTTTTGTTGTAGCTGTCATTGTTGTTTAGCAGGCCCAGGTCAGGTTCAAACCTTCTGGCAGGTATGTGGCTGGCGCCCTACTGACTGAGCTCCAGGCAGCACTGAATCAAATATTTTAAATGGTTAAATTGTGTAGATGCAAATTTTGTCTCACTAAAACTGTTAAAAAAAAAATACCATGTTTCCCCGAAAATAAGACCTAACCAAAAAATAAGCCTTAGCAAGATTTCTATGCATTTGTTAAATATAAGCCCTACCCTGATAAGACCTAGTGATTGAGTGTACCTGCATAGCCACACCATGCATTTCAGCTCGGAAGGAAGAATTTGGAATACCTTTTATCTGCCACAGCTCCTTTCTCGGAGCTGTTCGCACTTGCACGGGTGCGAGTGTGGTAACCACGGTAGCAGGCATACTATTGCTCATGTGCTAATGGCCAGGGGAAAGGAGTTCACACATCACTAGCGCCAGCCTCACAAACAAGGTCGGCTACCCCTGTCAGGTTCCAGAAGAAGATGACTTAATTGTATCTGAATAAATGTAGATTGTTGTAGTATACTTAATAAAAATAAGACATCCTCTGAAAATAAACCCTAGTGTGTCTTCTTGAGAAAAAATAATATTAGACAGGGTCTTATTTTCGGGGAAACACAGTAAATGAGACCCATCAACAGAACTGAAAATCAGAAACTATAAAACTACTGTCCTTCTCTGTAGCAATAAATAAGCAGTAAAAAAACAACTTGAATAGCAACATTTATTGAGGGATTAACATGTGCCAGGCACTGTACTTAGAGTTTTGATACTGAGTTTCAGTCTTTGAAAAAAAAAAAAATCCTTTGGAGGTAGAGACTGACAGTGTCGAATTCTCCCTTGTCCCTTGCTAATGCAACCCCTGAATTCTAGCTGGATACCTGGCTACACAGCCTCCCTTCAAGCTGAGTGTGGCTGTGAGAATACATTCTGGTCTATAAGAATTAAGTGGAAAAAGTATGTGCAACTTCTGAGCTACACTTTTTTTTTTGAGACAGAGCTTCAAGCTGTCACCGTGGGTAGAGTGCTGTGGCATCACAACTCAGAGCAACCTCCAACTCCTGGGCTCAAGCAATTCTCCTGCCTCTGCCTCCCAAGTAGCTGGGACTACAGGCGCCTGCCACAACGCCCGGCTATTTTTGGGTTCGAGTCATTGTTGTCTGGTGGGCCTGAGCTGGATTTGAACCTGCCACCTCAGGTGTATGTGGCTAGTGCCTTAGCCACTTGAGCCACAGGCGCCAAGCCACTGAGCTACGCTCTTTAGAGGAATGTAGGGAGAGGCGCCATTTTCCTCCTGATGTGATGGCTTGAGCTGGAACAGCCATTTTGGACCATGAGGTAAATGTTAGCATGGAGGCCACAAATGGAAGAATAATGAGAAAAACAGCAGGAGCCTCTGAGGACTGTGGGGAGCAGAACCTCCACATCTGGACTGCTACCATCAAATTTCTTTATGCCTAACATCCTAATACAGTATAATTCCTAACAACCCTATGAAATAGCTACTGCTATTATCCTATTTCAAAAATGAGAAAACAAGGCCTGGTGCAGTAGCTCACACCTGAAATCCTAGCACTCTGGGAGATAGAGGCGGATGGATCCCTTGAGCTCAGCAGTTCAAGACCAGGCCAAGGTCTTTTAGTAAAGACCACCCCATCTTTACTAAAAATAGAAGAAAAAAAAAAAACTAGCCAGGTGTGGTGGTGCACCTGTAGTCCCAGCTACTTGGGATGCTGAGGCAAGAGGACTGCTTGGGCCCCAGAGTTTGAGGTTGCTGTGAGCTATGATGATGCCACAGCACTCTATGCAGAGCAACAGAATAAGACTCTGTCTCAAAAAAAAAAAAAAAGATAAGGCAAAAATGTCTTGCTGCCCACTAGGGTTCAGGAAACCTTGAGTCCCTGGCCAGCCATATACTCCTTACCTGATATCCTGTGTCGGGGAGGCCTCAGGCTTCAGTTTCACATTCAGGGGCACTCGTTGCTCTGCCAGCCAGATGGCACACTGTATAGCCACCCGTTCATCCCCGCCTGCCACTGCCCGAGTAAGTCTCAGGGCCATCTCCTCCGCTGAAGCCAACACCATGAGAAAAGGTTAGTATGTGGTTTATTTTTCAGGAGCTAGGGGTAAGGGGATGGAAGGAGGTGAGCTATCTTCTTGGTGAACTCCTCTAGTTCCTTTCTCTGGGAGGCCTTCTCTGACACTCCCCACTCCTCACTCAAGGCTCATTTGGTTCTATTTTTCTTTCATACAAAGTCCCTCTCCCATACTTCTATTCATTTTTTTGAGCTCCAACTTTGTGCCATCTACTGTCCTAGAGACTGGGATCCAACAGTGATTAAGACAGACAGGGTTTCTTTTCTCATGGACCTCCCTGCCTAGCAGGGAGAAAGACAGTTAAGTTTAACAAGAGGGAGAAAAAGCCAGATTATGACCCTTGCTGGCAAGGAGATAAACAGAATAAGAAGATCAGAAAATACCTCTGGGAGGAAGTTAACACTGAAGCTGATTCCTGAAGGAGAGGAAGCTGAACAGGTAAAGACCTAGCAGGGAAGAGTATTCCAGGTGGAGAGAAGAATCAGGGCACAGGCCTTGGGCAAGAAATGGCTGGCTTAGAACAGAAGGAAGCCAGTGGGGCTCCAGCAGAGTAAGAAGGGGGTGACTGAGGAGAGCAGGAGGTCAGGGGTCAGCAGGATGTTGTGGGCTGCCCCGGGTCTCTGGAGTTTGTCCTAAGAACACAGAGGTGCATGGGAGGTTTCCAGAGGCAGTGATGTGACTCGTGTTCTACAACACTAGGTGCAGACAGCAAGAGGCAAGGACCTCTGCTATCAGGTCAACTGAGGCCAGTCTCACCACCAGCCTGGACAGTCTATAAGTTCAATGACCTGTGTTCCCTAGGAGCCCCCACCTATCTCAGCACAAGGCTGGCCCCAGGAGGCCTGGGGTCCCAAGATGCCTCTGGAAGTCCACAGGCTTCAAGGGAGGAAACAGAGGGGCAGGGAGGCAGAGTGAAGGTAGGCTAAAGCCCCTTGTTCACCCATCCCTTTTGGGTGAGGCGAGGTCAGTTCCCGCCACAGCCCACTTCCCTCCTGAAGGCCCGCAGCATTCTCCAGTCTGTGCCCACCTTTCTTGGTCTTCTCGTCCATCTGGCCTGGCTGCGCCCATCCCCCCGGGGGGCCTGTGGCTCCGCGGAAATGCCGTATGTGGGTCACCTGGGAAAGGCGACCGAGAGCAACTCAGTCCCCGCCTGGTGGCCTCTGGCGCTGCCCAAACCCTCTCTGTGCCTCAGTGTCCCCGGCGACAGTCTGGCAGCCTTACATCGCCCGGGGGCGGGGGACCGGGCCTAGCACTGGGAACCGGCCCCCACGTGAGATGGTGAAAGGGAAGATCCGCAAAGAGCCAAAGAACAAACGGACGACTGGGTAGGCAGGGAGAGCCAAGGACGGTCTGGTTCGGCACAGCAGGGGCGCTCCACGTGTTCAGAGGGATCCTCACTTGCAGGGACGCCCCTGGCGTCCGAGGCTTTAGTTCCCTCCCCACCCAGGAAAGCCAAGTCTTTCGGAAGGGGGAGGGGAGCGGCCTTGGAGGAAGAGAAAGTGAAAGTGGCGCGCCGGAAATGGGGCGGGGCGAAGGGGGCAGGAAAAGTGTCGTCTCATCCGGGACCCCCACTGCCCAGCTCACCCAGCGGCGGCGGACGCCGAGCACGGGATACCAGCGGTCCCAGGAGCTTAGTCGTCCTGTCCCGAGAGGACCCACCCCAGCTCTCAGGCAGACCGCCACGCCCACAACCCCAGTCCCCGCTCACCCTCCGGGCCGCGCAGCCGCGCTGCAGGAGGGGGCGGGACCGGGGCGGGGCGGAGGTGCGGAGGGGGCGGGCCCGGGGCGGCGGGGACCAGCTGGGCATCGCTGGAGCTGTCAGGAGCTCCCTGTGGGCCCCGCGCGGTCTGGCCGGCCTCCGCTTACCAAGACTCCTGCACAACGGTGGTCTGACCCAGTCCTTGGCTCCGTTTGTTTATGACCTGCCGAGCCCACACAGCTCGGGTTTGAATCCAAGTCTGGGAGGCTCAGAAACACCCACCCCCACTTCCACCCCGCCCTTCATCTTACTCAGGAGGGGCGCTGCCTCTTGGTGGTCTGAGTTTTCATTAAGTCATTGGTGAAGTTTGCATTTGCCTATTTGCCTGCTAAAGGCTGGAAGACTTTGTTTGTCTGTTTTGAGACAGAGTCTCTCTCCCCATGGGTAGATCGTCGTGATGTCGTCATAGTTTGGACTTGAGCCTCCCGTGTAGTTGGGAGCACCCATCCCCCTACAACGTCCTGCTAGTTTTCTCTATGTTTAGTAGAGACAGGGTCTCACTGTTGCTCAGGCTGGTCTGGAATTCCTGAGTTCAGGCAATCTACCCGCCTGTGCTGGGATTAGAGGCCCGAGCCACCGCACCTGGTCCTGGAAGCCCTTTTCATTCTCTGGCCTCTTTATTATTTATCCTACTCCTTCTATAGATCAGCAGATCTGTGGACTCCTCTGCAGAATAGATCCAGAATCTGCCACTGTTCCTCCTTGCCCCATCCGCTAGGCCTCCTTCATTTCAGAGGTCCCGAACCAGCCTCCACATTGGGCTCCTTGTGTCTCCTTTTGCTCCCTATTGCCCATATCCACCCGAAGGTGTAAATCAAGCCCGTGCCAGTTCCACACTCAGATACTCTCACCTCACTTAAAGTAAAAGCAGAAGTCCTTTCCAAGGCCGGCAAACCAACTTATGCCTTCATCCCTGACTGATCTCCCCTGGGCTCTCTGCACTCAAGCCCCACTGGTCTCCTGGGTCCTGGAATAATAAGTTAGATTCAGTTGTCCCTCAGGGCCTTTGCACTTGCCACAACCCAATTATCTGCATAGCTGGTTTCTTCCCTTTATTTTGGTCTCTACCTGAAAGTCTTCCCTAACTACCCTATCTGAAGTTTCACAAGCATGTATCCAGCACGTCATATGCTCCTTCTTGGCTTCATTTTTTTTTTCCTTGTCAATGTATATTACTATCAAACACTGTAATATATTTATGCTTATTTGTCTTGTTATCGAGCTGTTTTTCTCTTCTAGTAGTTTTGCACACTACTGTTTTCCTGATGTCTAGAACAGTTCCTAACATGTAATAGGTGCTGAAGGACTGTGTGCTGAATGAATGAATGAATCTCAGACTTGTATCTGGTATCATTTTCCTTCTGCCTGAAACATATCCCTAAAATCAGTTTCTTTTTTTTTTTTTTTTTTTTTTTT